GCTCTTGAGTTGAAGACAACGAAGTCAAAAATGCTGAATGAGACAAGGATACATTGGAGTACGATAAATGCGACTGTATAGGATAACTGATAACTTCATATGTAACAAAGTCCTTCAATTTTTCTGGAGCCTTGGATGTTCGATTTGACCTTCTAGGAATCTTTTCGGAAGTATCTGGTACAACACTAACATATTCTAGAACATCATGAGAAATTGGCGATAAAGGACTTCTGTTTTCCTCATTGTCTTCATCCTGTTCAGTTTCTCATGTACCTTCAGTCTGTACTATGGTTTCAATTTCGCATGTACTTGCAATATCAGAAGAAGATGTCCATATAGTAGGAAGTAGAAACAGATCGGTCAAATTCTCCCCCGAGGTAAAATCTTGTTCGAACTCTTAGCCGAATAATATGGTTCATTCTCGGCAAATCTCACATCTCGTGATACAAATAGCTTCTGGGACTGAGGATCATATCATGTATATCCTTTTTTTGTCGAAGAATATCCTAAGAAGATGCACCGATGGAACGATGATCAAATTTATCATGATGTAAGCTCTGGTGTTGCACATAACAAACACAACCAAATACTCGAAGGTGAGACACATCAGACTTTCTCCCCTTTAAGACTTCCAATGGCGACTAAAAATGGATTACACGACTTGGAAGCCTATTTATCAAGTACACAACTGTTAAAACTCCATTTGATCAAAATTTCTTTGGAATATTTATTTGAAGCATGAAAGCTCTTGTAGTCTCCAAAATATGTCGATTTTTCCTTTCGCCTACTCCATTTTGTTGGAGCGTACCAACACAACTAGTCCAATGTATAATGTCTTCAATGCGAAGAAAGGCAGGAAGGGGACCCTTGGCAAATTCAATCCCATTATCCGAATGAAAAATCTTTATTTTGCTATCAAGTTGACTGGCCACCATGCTATGAAAATCCTTGAAAATAGTGTAAACTTCATTATTAGATTTCAATAAATATATCCAAGTAGCACGAGAATAATCATCAATAAACAACACAAAATGTTGACATATGGTTGATTTCATTCTCAATGTTTTGAGTATAACAAACAAGATTAATATTGTTTCTAACAATCGATTTTGAGTGATGATAGTTCAATGTTAAAATCTATTGAGTATTGTCAAACTCAACACATCATAAATCAGACTCGAAATGAATAGCAAAGTGAAAGTTAAGCATTCAAGTCAAATCATTCGAGGCAAAGTGAAAGTTAAGCATTCAAATCAAATAATTCAAGACGAGAGCATAAAAGATCAAAATCAAGACTAT